AGAGATTGGATTTGTGGTATCGAAATTCCTGCTTTTTTCAAAGTAAAAATTTCCTCCTTAATAAATGTTGGTATTTCACGGTTACTAGGTGAAATATGCATAAGTTGGGGTGGAATAAGTTGATGATTATGTTGTAGATTGACTTGAGAGATATAATATTTGTCGTCTTCTGGGTTATGATTAAGATGAACAGACCAGAAGCAGTTACATTTTTTTGATACTTTATTTCTGCCTTTCTTATTTGGATCTTTTCTTTTCTAGATTTGTACACACCAGAGTGATTGCAAGCAAAAACTTGAGTAGTACGCAAGCCATCACTATAATTGTTACCCTTTAAGGAAATCACTTTAAATTTGCTTGTTTCAGCGTATTGATCAGAAATATATTTAAAGGCCTCAAGAGAGGCATAATCCTGGCCATGCTGAAAAAGCGATTTACTTGATTCCAATGAGGATTCAGGTTCCAGTGAAAATTCAGGTTCCAGTGGAGATTCAGGTTCTAGTAGAGATTCAGGTTCTAGTGGAGATTCAAGTTCCAGTGAAGATTTAGGTTCCAGTAAAGATTCAGATTCCAGTGAAGATTCAGGTTCCAACGGGGACTCAGATTCCAATAGAGTTTCATGTTCCAATGAGATTTTAGGTTTCAGTGGGGCTTCAGGTTCTAATGAGGCTTCAGGTTCTGATAAAGCTTCGGATTCAGATGAGATCTTGGGGTTCAATGTGTATTCAGGTTCTGGTTCTTAAAATATCAAAAATGGCTATTAGTCTTTACATAAAACATTATATACGGTGTTGGCATTAGATGTATGTCCAATGCCAACATGGAATGATCTGGTATTGTAAAATAAATTTTTTATAAGTTGCACACCGATGAATGTTTATCAAAAAAAAAGCTAAATTTTATTACCGGCTATGCCATTGCCCTACATAATACTATATTAAATGATTAAAACCTTACCATTAATAAGTCGTGCTTAAGACGCTAGTTCTAGTTGTATGTTGGCTATTATTATTATAATTTTCTTTCAAGTCCAAAGGAAAAGCTATATAGCTTCCTGGAAACGAACAAGAAAAGGCTACTTGTGGTAAGAATTTCGTAGCCTAGTTGAGTCATAAAAGGTTTGGTTTCTTCATAGCTTAGTTAAGTCGTGAAAGGTTTGGTTTTTTTGTTTGATTAATTACTAATGAATGTTGGCTTGAAATTTTGGTTCTTGTAAGGTAAATAGGTTTAAAAGTTCAAAAGATTAAGCCTCTTTTTTTTTTTTTTTTTTTAACCTGTACGTATGTTATATGTAACAAAATTTGATGTCCAGTTTATTTTACTAAGTGTTTATATCTAGGTTTGGTTTTAAGAGAGGCAACTACTTTCCGACTTCTTTACAAAAGATAACAGCTTCGAATATTTTTTTTTGACAGTTGTATATTTGAGGGCGTTAGTGCAGAGAAAATTCTAAAAATTCTTTGTTTTGGTATATAAGATACATAAGGTATGTAATACACATATATAGTCGTACGAACGTACGTACTAGTACATATCAGGTACTCAGAGGCGATCTGATTTTTTAGGTCGAAGACATCGAGTTATTAATCAAAGTGTTGTCACATGACCTTTGTGTTTTTTGATTGGTCAATAGGCCAGAGATATATAATTTATATATCTCTGGCCAGAGATATATAGAAAAATCCTTAAAATATAACTCTGTAAAAAACAAATATTTACAAATTTTAAAAAAAGAATTATATGTAAAATTTTATACTAAACAAATTTTTCTTAGTAACAAAATAAGTTATCTATATGCTAATGTTAAAAATTACATATTTTTTATATAAAACTTTTTTTTTTACTTAAATAATCTATTTTTTGTGTTTAACTAAAGTTGTTCAAAATAAAATTTTGCATCTATATAGTTCGGTAATTTTTTATTTTGTTAATATTTTACTAAGTGAGCAAAAAAAAATTTTTTTTTGCCAAAAACTTTAATCTAATTTTTCACTTAGTAAATGAAAAATTACCAAACTATATAGATGCAAAATTTTATTCTGAACAACTTTATTTAAGTAAAAAAAAAGTTTTATATAAAAAAAATATGTAATTTTTAACATTAGCATATAGATAACTTATTTTTTTACTAATACAACCTATTTTGTTACAAGAAAAATTTTGTTCAGCATAAAATTTTACATATAATCCTTCTTTTAAATTATATAAAAAAAATATGTAATTTTTAACATTAGCATATAGATAACTTATTTTTTTACTAATACAATCTATTTTGTTACTAAGAAAAATTTTGTTCAGCATAAAATTTTACATATAATCCTTCTTTTAAATTTTGTAAATATTTATTTTTTACAGAGTTACATTTTAAAATCATACAAAATTAACAAAATTTCAACTTCATTTTTAAGCTCAATTTTTTTGTCTTTTCTTGTTCTATTTATTCATAAAATTTAATTTTAAGTTAATTAGTTAGGATCTTCAGCTCAAAGTTTATAGTAAATTCATATATTTTTGTTTAAATTTTTATTATAAACTTATTTTAAACCTATTTCAAGGAGACATGTCCTGTAACTGTTATATAAATAAATAAAAAAATTTTACCATTTTATCATAACATGTTAGGTTTTTTAACATTTCTTTTAGATACTGTATACAATAAAGTAAATTTATAATTCAGTAATAAATATTTTAAATTTTGGATTGAATATTAATGTTTAGTACTTTAAAAGCGTATAAATAAGTTACCCGGACAATTAATTTACATCAGCCAATCAGACGAAAGTCTGTCTATAAGACCGGGACCGAGTCCAAGTTGAAACATGAAGTTTTAGTAAGATCTAGCTACTTATGGCGCCAGTTTATATTTTGTACACTTAATACAGTAAAAATTAATTTGTATACGTATAAGGTATACAAGAGTCAAAAAAATGGAACTAATAGTAAATTGCCAGATAAGTTTAAAAACAGATCAATACGTAGGATTATAAGCAACGGCCGGTCGTGCATGTATCTCTTGAACCTATTATTATGCAGCTATATATATATATATAGAATAATTTGATAAGCCTTCAAACTTAAACGCTATTTCTTATTATAATATATACAACGAAACTTCAGTTACTCTAAACATTCATTATGACAAGTGTAACTTACTTTGACACTATTACAAGAGACTTTTGTGATGTGATTATAACTGAGGACGGCATAGATACAGTCACTTTCTTGGAAGCTGTTGAAGGGGTAATTACGTTGTTTAGTAAGTAGTTTTGTTATTCATAAAGTTGTTCATTTTACAAATTATACAAGCATTTAAATCATGATATACTGGATTTAGATATGCTTGGAAGTTCGGCCTTTAATGTCGTTCAAAAAGACATGACCGGTAATGTTAACGTAAGTTCAGTAGTGGCAACGTAACAGCTTTCGTCCGTCTCCTTACAATGTATATCTTTAAAATAGAAAATTAGAGCACGCTATGAAACTGATCGCATAAAAAATAATACTCTTGAAAACTTGGTCATTAACGAGCAAAAAGAAAAAAAACGTATAGCTACTGAAGGTTTATTATGGTTAAAAAGGTAATGAAATAATTACTTTTTTATCTCCGAATTCGAATATATTTTCATATGTCATATTTGCAGAGGATTAGAATTTACCTCCGTGGCTTTACGTCGTTCGATTAACCAGACTACCGAAGAACTTTCAGTTTCCTTCACAAATGCATATGGTGTTACATTGAAGCCATTCCATAGCTATTTAGTTCGCCCTGTGTTCACGGTATGTCTAATAACTGATAAATAAGTCTTTTGAACCAATCATTACTTATATATATATATTATATTAAAGCTTGCCATGAAAGCTTGCCCGTATCGTGTTGAATTTTTCAAGAAGCTTGGTGATGATCAAGCAAGAGTTAACGAACAATATGAATGTTGGTTATCTGCTCTCGAACGAATTGTCGACAAGCTAAACTGTTTTTATGAACAAGGTGGTCATGATAAAGGATTTTAGATATGACTCATTTGTATATACATATAGACAGTAAAACATTTAATAGAATTATTAGTGTATATCGATTTTTAAAATAAAGAATATCGTGATCAATATTTATAGGAATGTTTCAAACTGATTGCGTCATAATTGTCTTTTATAAGCACGCACTCTAAATAAATTCTCTAAATGCAGGCATAGCTTGGCTCCGACTGACAAGAGCACTATATTATGCTCTCTCTATAAATGTAAATCCTCTTTTAAGTACTTTTTTTTTTTTTTACTATGGTCCCGACGCGGTGGATTATAAAGTAAAGTAGTACGGTACGGAAACACAAATTAGGACGGACGTATAGAAATCATGATAGTACGTACGGTTTGTAAAAGAAAAATTTTTAAACCAAAGTTACTTTTTTAAGTCTGTATTTGTTAAACGTTATTTTCAAATTTCCGTCGACTAAACATAACTGTGGTTATCCTATTGAAGATTTTATGAAACACGATACCTCACAAAACTCAACTAATAAGACTCTTAGAAATATCACGAAACATCTAATAAGAAATTGGTTAAAATACAAAAAATAATGGAAATCACTGTAATATGAAATAAAACAATCTTTTCGTACTTTCTAATGTAGTTACATACGTCAATTTTTAATCGACTCCAACTGAATATTCAACTCTTCGATAACTCCAATTTAACTAATTTAAAGGTATTAAAAGCCCAATAAAGCTTTGTTTTTGTGTTTAGATGAGTTTTTAAAACAGCTAAACAGCGATCATATTTTGAATAATCAATTATACTTTCCATTCACATAGCTGTGAACAATTTTTTCAAAGGGTTGAAACGAAAAAAAATGAATGACTAATAAAGCATTTGAAGCTATTTTACAAAAATAATAAAAAATCAATAAAAATTTTTTTAAAAAATACTTTTATTAAACATACTTTAGATTTGATGTATGTACTTCGGTAGTGATGTCTAATATGAGTGCTGAAGGGCTGCTTTAGACTTTTTAAATTTTTTTTTGATCAAAAATATCTTAACAACTACTTGATCAAAATTGATAATAGTTTTTTTTATTTAAATTTTACAGATAAATAGAATTCAAATAAAAAAATAATTATCGTTATCAATTTTAATCAGGTAGTTGTTGAGATATCTTTGATCAAAAAATTTTTAATAAAGTCTAAAGTAGCCTTTTTCCCTTGGCAGCACTCATATATTAACCGTACGTACGATCAAATTTTAGTATAATTTTCGTGCGTCCGTCCGAATCTATACTGCCGTACAATACTTCTCCGCACCATTTAGCGTGCGGGTGAAAAAATGAATATTTGTTCTGATTGGCTTGTGTCTGAGCAACATCTATGTTTTAAAGTACAGTACTTTTTGGGAACGCAAGATTACTTTTTGAGGCGTGTTAAATTTTTTTTATACGTAGATAATATAACTAATTATTTTTTATACGTAGATATATTTTATTTCTTATTTTAAATAAGATAAGAAATAAAAAAATTTTTTATAAATATTTCTATATATAATTTATTATACGTATACAACTATATCAGTTATTTTGGTATGTAACTACATTAACAGTCTGATCTGTAAGTTAAACAAAAATGTAATTTATTAAAAATCTGCATTTGGTGTGACGAGTATACAAGTAATGTTAATCATAAAAGCGAGACTCTAATACTGTAATATTGATTGGTGGCGAAATCTTGAACTGCCAGCAGATATAAAGCGTTAAAATAAAAAACTCATCAGGTTATTCTTTTTATTGGAGTATTGGAAAAATCTAAAAGTCCAGTGGGTATTATGTTTTATAGCAGTTTTTATAGCGCTAATTAAAACCCTTAATGCTAATTAATATTGTATTTCTCATTGATTTAAATCCATTACTTGAGTACACCAATTACGCACTACATCTCTAATGATATAAAGTATATTTGATATTACACAAGAAAAATATGACTCAATAAATATACAAAAAAAAAAACTTTTTGTAATGATCAAAAGCTTATGCGTGGAGTATTATTATTAAGATAAGAAATCGTTGAAAAAAAAAAAACGCTTTGGTCGATTTTTCATAATTAGCCAGGATCCTATACGGCAAGTTTTAATTTTTTGTTGGCTCAGCTTCCCCAGGCTTTTTGGCGTTACATGCTACAATCTTGATTTTATCAACATGAACTTGCTCATTTTCTAATTTGAAATTTGGATTCTTAATAATGAACGTCCATACTTCATCACAGAATCGATATGTATGAAGGTGCCCTGCCTAATAAAAGTTAAATCGAAAGATGAACATGATTCATTATAATAATAATAAAACCATTACCTTAAAGGTTGCTTTTGTTCTAACTTTCGTCTCTAAAGCTTCTGTAATGCTTTTATCAAACTTTATTATTATGATTATTATTTATTTGAAAATGTTTCTTGTTAGCGGGCTTTCTTAGTCAAAACCTAATAATATAAATGAATCATAAAATAAAGTATACATACTTGTAAAAGAACCTTCATCGCCAGTTGTGGATCAATATGACTTGTTTGAATCAACTCATCAAGCGAATCAGTCAATGCCATTCCAATGCTTTGGGATTTGTAAAAGTGAATTTTAAACTTTCAATAAATCAGTTAAATAAATAAGCCCAAATACCAACCTGCTTCTACGATAAAGTTCATAGTAATGAGTCATGGCCTTATATTTAAATTGTGGTAGTGACAAAATATATAATTTTTTTTTTTTTTATATATATATATGGGGATTGGCCTTATATATCGAATTTTAAGCTTGATTTGATTGGCCAATTTTTTAAGTTTGACTAATACTAATTTCTGGCCGGAATTAACTTTTTGATTTTTTTATTACAAACCAGAAACAATTTTCGCTTAATAGGCGGCTGTGATTTCATTAGTAAAATTCTGAGTAATTTCGGTCCTGTGTTCAAATCGTTAGTTGAAAAATCAACTACAGTCTTTTTTCTTTATAATTACACTTTTGGGCATAGTAAATATCATATTTACGTTTTTGATTCTGTAATAAAGAATTAACTTTTTAAATTTTACTACAGTCGTGCTCCTATATAATCACCTCATATAATCACAAACACTATATAATCACATAATTTTATACGTACGGGCAATATTAATTACCTTTATATAATCACTATTATAGTACTGTCACTATCACATTTTTTAAAAAGATTTTTTATAATTTATTAATAAAAATATCAAATTAATAAAAATTTTTCTAATTAAAATTTTAAAAAATCTAAAAATATCTATAAAATTTACTATTTTTACTCAACCTTTAATGATAGATATCTTGATAACTATTGATCCAAATTGGCTCAAATTTTTACTGTAAATAGTTTAGATATTTGTCTATTATGGCTACATAGTTTTCAAAAAATTGTTTATATATGATAGTAAATTTTTTTAAAAAAATTAGCTATTGTATACAAGTGATTATATGATAATTACTAGACCAAATCAACTGAAATTTTTATATATACAGTCGTCCCTCCATATAGTCACCTCCCATATAGTCACAAACTCTATACAATCACATAATTTTAAATTACTGTTTTTTTATTATTAAAAATACCTCTATATAGTCACAATTATATTATAATCACTATCACATTTTTTTAGAATTTGTTAAACAATTTTAATAATAAAATTACCTCTCCACAATCACATTTACATTAATTAATTCGTGTTTCGCCTAAGAACCAGTGACAATGCATAGTAAAAAGTGATAATATTTATTGTCTTTGAAATCTGGAGTTTCTCAAAGAAACCCTTTGTTTACTAAGTAACCCTCTTTTCAAAGTCTAAGTAAAGTTGTAGAAGAGTGTCTTGCGATCAAAATGGCGGTTAAAATGTTAAAATTGGCCTGGTGGGTCGCGAATATAGGGATTTTAGTCTTCGCAACTATATGTTTTCTTTAAATAAATAAAGAAGAAAGCATCTAGTCGTGAAGACTAAAATACTTATATCTCGCGATCTACTGGGTAAATTTTAACGTTTTAACCGCCATTTTTATCGCAAGACATTACTCTACAACTTTAACTATAAGCTGAAAAGAGATTGACTAAGAAAGGTTTAAATATCACAATATTTTTTATAATTTTATTAATAAAATTATGGAAAATATTAAAATCCACAAAATTGTACTAATTAAACCTACCTCCATGCTATAAGTAAACTCGTTCTACGCATAAAAATACATCATATCAACATACGTTTACCTTATAATTTTAAATTTTAAGAGAAAAGATGCTTAATTTTGAATTTTTGATCAAAAACCCAAAATTAAGCA